CATCTACTTCAGTAACTTCAATGAATTTGAGAAACTGTTTTTGCATCTTTTGATAGGATTTACAAAAATTATGTTTTAAAAAATTTATTCTTATTTAATATTCTATTGATTCTTACGGTAATCACTATAACGACTTTATTGTTTAATGCGAAATTTTTTGCATTTGTGAATCGTGCATAATATTTGAATCTACTGATCATAATTTCACAAAACCCTGTCAAGGATTGTAAGAAGGAAGAAACCGATTTAAGTAAAAGATAAAACTAGTTGGAAACTTCTGCAGGACTAGACATCCATCTCTTTTAACATTCTCGTTCGCCAATCTTTTCTCGGCCAACAATTTTCTTCGGATTCGTTTCCGTCCCTCGACCGCGTCCCATCCTTTCTTCTATCCGGTGTCGAAATTGGCGGCAACGCGTGGAACGCAATTAAAAGTTTCCCAGCCCAACGACGCCGAGGATGACAGGATCGATCCTCTTCTCAGAATATTCCTCCTCCCGATCGTTCCACGGGTACTACGCTGAACCGATTCGCGAGGGGATCAAACAACTCCCGGTTACACTTCTCCGCACGACCGTTTTAAAGAGAGACTGTGCAGCCAATGCATTTTTAATTGCGACGATTATTCGGAATGGCTTTTAGCGGAATGCGTGCATTACCCCACAGCCGAGTCTTTCCGATCCAAGTTTGCTTTGTTAAAAACGGCCGATGGATCTCATACCATCTCTTTTTTTACATCCATTCTGTTTTGCGACTTATTAACTTATCGTTAGGGAATCGATTAGTCGTTCACATATCTGTTCGATGATGAACAGAAATACAGACGTGAATAATTTTTATATAGTAAATAACACGTTTGTTTTTAAACATTTTTTTCTATGATATTCTATAAGAAGAAATTCCTACGGCAGAAAAATGCACATTTCTTCGGTATCCATTAACGATGAAAGGTTCTTCGAACGCGAGAAAAATAATTTGTGGAGCGAATCCCCGGTCCTCGAAAGTCGAAGATCGTTTCGAAATTCCGGGCGTTTCCGATGCCGCTGATTGCAGATGCAATCGATACGAATCGATCGTCCGACTTGGAATCGGGGACGAAGGCGTAGCCAAATGACCACGTGGGTGTGCGTTACGTGCACGCGGCCTCGTGTGCATGTGTCGTGCCCACGGCGGTGGAACGGAGCGGGGAATAAAAATGTGCTACCTTTTTGCTCTGATCCATGGGACGCGACGGTGAAACCGGGTTTTCGCGTACCTGTTCGTATCTGGGGACTGATTCTCCCTTTTCATGCAAGTCCGTGCGTGTAGTAGAGAATCCCATTATTCGAATACTCGAACATCAGGACGTTCTATTGCCTGGAAATTTTATTGCTCCGACAGTTTCTCTTAGCAACAAGCTTTCTCTTATTACGAATATCTTTTCGTCTGTTCTTATACACTTACCGATCAGTTACATGCAAATACTCTACCACGTTTCTTATAAGAAATATTTTTCTATTCGTTATCAATTAACTATTCGAATTCTTATTGAAAATAATTGTATAACTGTTAATTTCGAATTTTATTAATGAAAATTGCAGTCTAAAAACCCAGCAAGATTTATATTAATCCAAATGGCAACGTCCTTGATTTTTGCTTAAATAGAAACTTCTTTGCACGGGCAATTTAATTCGCGTGCGGGAAATTCTGCAGCAGAAAATTTTCTCGTTCGACCCTTTCTCCGCGGAACAAGGGAGCGAACGAAACACGCGTGCGTGTTCACGGAAATTCGCGACACGCTCGAAGGGCTTCGTTAAACGCGTCTGCGAGACGGATGTCCCGTCTCGTCGGGGTTTTTATTCGCGAAATGAACCGATACATTTTTTATCGTATACCCGACCGTAAATTTTTTTCGCTAAAATTCTAAGCTCCCGCTAGACTGGAATTTTTTTCTCGCACAGCAGACATTCCTTGTTGTATACAAATGGCTGACGTATATAGCATCAGAAAAAAGAAATTTATATTTTTGTTTTATGGAAAATATGCGAGTGCAAAATTAGTTTATTTTTGCATATTTGATTAAACGTTCTCTGCAGCATTTGCGCGATACAGAAGGACAATGAGAGGAAATAAAAAGTGAGAATGCAGGGATGAAAGGTTCGAAAACGGCGATGAATAAATTGAAGGCATTGAAAGAGCGTTAAACAATCCGTATATAAATAAGACCGAAGTTTCTTCTTGGGAAGATGAATTAATTTAGGTATCTGGCGGGAGAGTAAAACGAGCGAGTACGATTCCCTTAATTAAGCGAGACAACCTTCGCTCCGACATCGGAGAGGGAATATGAACGTACCGGAACGTATTTCTCTCGTCTCTTTTTTTTTTCGCAGAAAGAATTCCGCCTCGGTGTCCCTGTACCTGTTCGAGACCCACGCCCAGGGGGGGTCCCGTGGGTCCCCTCGCCGGATCCAGTAATAATTCCCCGAGCCGGGGCGGCGGACCGTGAGCGCATTCTGGTCGCGTTACGTGTCTGCATTCCGCGTGGCCTTTGGCCCCACCCCCGGGGCCCCGCGGGGCCTCAGGGATCGTTAAGGTAGCACCTTAACGGCCCTTTTACGAAAAGACGCCCGGAGGTGGCGTTCCCGCGGCCCCTTCATTATTATTCACCCCGCGCACCGACTCCCCCTCCTCGCTCCTTAGTACACCCTCGTTCATAAGTCTTGGGACAATTCGCGAAAGGTACAGCCGAATAAGACGTTCAGCGCCTTAAGTGTCGAGATATCTCGGTGAAAAAACGCCTCGAATAAAGTTCTTTATTAATCGTTGCTACTCTAACATTGTACGATCTAAATTAATAGTCAGTCAATCTAAACCTTGGAACTTTGCAAATTATTGCATTCAATTGATTATTGTCATTATTAAATTATTACAATTTTAACGTTCTACTTGGTATTTATTTTATGCTTACTACCGTACGTCTTACGTTTTACGGCAAACATTGTTGTATGTTTGATATCAAATGAAGACAAGGGTCACGGAGTCGGCTTTCGAGTCAGAACTAATTTCCTGAAAATGCTCTACATAATGGCGCACCTGTCTGAGAACTTGCTCCCTCTCTTCCCGTTTCTCTTCCCTTGTCCTTGTTTATTTCAAGAGGAGAATTCTGGAATTGTCCCTTCATTTCATTCTTATTACAGAATCGCAGATTTTTATGCAAAAGAAAATGCTTATAGTATCAATTTAAATGTATTTTATTATTCGTACATCGAAACATGTGTTCGACTTCTATTGTCCTGAATAGTTTTATGCGTTACGTGCAGGATTTATATTTTCAACACCTTCAATTTTCTTATCATAGAATTAAATCTATATCTTGCACATGAAAGGTAGATTAAACTCGAATGTTAATTTGGTCGCTCTGATTTTTATCCCGCGTGTTTACGAGGTGATATTATCTTTGATTGCGACAACGGTTATTCAACAATCGATCGAGTCGATCGTATAGAGCATTGTTATGTAGGAACGGAATCACCCATAGACCTCATTTCCTGTGTACCGCCGATCGCGCCCAACGACGACTTCCATAGCCGCTTTTCTCAACCGTCCCGGTAATTGGACGATGCGATGCGAAAAAGGAGCTATTGTCTCTCTTCATCCACGACCCAGCAAAGGAATCATAATCCCTCGTTATTATTCCTAATGTTCCACCTATCTCCCTTCCTTTCGGTCTCTCTTATCTCCATACAATGCGAAGGTCCTCCACGTTACCTTGCTCCATCTCTTCCAGACTTCTTCATTTCTTCTTATACCCCTCCGTGGAATTTCTATCAGATTTATCGAATTGTATCATTCTTGGAAATCCTTCAGATAATTCTGGGTTTTGATTTTATTCCGAAAGAACGATTACGATTAAAGTTCGGATTTTAAGCATTTACAGAAAAATCTGTGGAATTAGGAATGATTTATTTTCCATAAAAATCTATTAGAAATCTTGTTAACCTTTATTGAAATCGATTAAGCAAAGATTGAAAATGAATCGTGTCTTGTATATTGAATACGTGTAACAATCGGAATTACTTCTATTGTGCGATTGTTGAAACTGGCCATGCTTCTCCGTGATGTATAATTGGCCACTCTGCAGTCATTGTCAATTAATTTGGGCAGTTTATCGTCGGTCGCTTCAATTACGTTATAGAGGACGGTCGTAAGTAACTTTGTTGTAGACGTTTGTATTGAACACAGCGGCCGATCGAACCATTCTCATAGTTTCAAAATTATGCTACACCTCCAGCTTTGATTCACTGCGATATCGTTCGATATGCAATCTTCAACTACAGTTCCTTTCCAGAAATAATTAATAATTTTGTAATCAGTGCAAGCTGGTGTGTCGTTCTACTTGTTTTGCCGTTTAAATTTTAGAAGTAGAAACTATTGTAATTAAAAACGAAAAACCAGAAAGGAAATAACAACGTCCGTTCGAGGAGGCTCGTTTTAATTTATACGTATCCACTTTCGGCTTTCCTCGTTCCTGTTCAAAATTTGTTTCACCCATTCTTCATGCATTTGTTTTCATTGGGACGTTCTCTTTAGTCATATACTTTCACCGTCGTTATAGCAATAACAAAGATGCCTTAATTGCGTCCCGCAGGACTTCTCGCTTTGAATTTATTTCATAACGACGCGCTCAGTTTTCGCTATAATAGTTGGAAACATAGTATATATCGTGCGCGGCATTGTTCCCATGGCAGAGAGGAAAAAATTCGAAGTTCGTGTTCACTGAGGAATTATAGTGCAAAATGTTGCTCGTCTGGCGGAACAGGACACGCGATAGAAAATGAGATAATTAGGCGATTTTCCAGTGGGAATTCAGGGACGCGGTGTAGTATTACCGACGACGAGCCTAAATATGAAGTTTATTTTGTAATATTCTTACCACGTTCTTTACGTTTTCGTGTAATCACACATCGTTCTTCGTCGCAGTTGCAAAATTATAAAATCAAGTTCTATTGTAATGTGCAAAGTTTATATTTTACATTTATTGCATATTATGTTGTCTACAGATTTAGTATTTTGATTTCTATAAATCGCTGGAATTAGACTTGCCATAAAGGAATTATAAATTTCTCCATAAAGATTTTAAGATAGGGACAGACATTTGAGTGTTCGATCACGGTCTCAATGCCAGGATAATTCGTTGATAAGAAAAAGAACTAACGAGACGAGGAGCGGAGAACTCCCTGACGCGCAATTAGCGAGTTAGATCTGGGAGGATCGTTAAAGGTAGATGAATTATTTATAAAGTTCCTGCAGCAGCCCCAAAGTATTTCGATCGAGGAGTCGCGAACGCGTTCGAGAGGAATGCCTCCTCGATTGGAGCACCGCGAGGCGGCATGGTTCCCACGCGTTACTTACTGCTTTGTCTCGTCCTCCTCGAACAGACAATCGACATTCTTATTCCTCGTTATCACGCGTAATTGTTATCAGTAAAGTTTCATGCTAAACTGATACTTACGTGATATTTAAACGTTGTAAAAATGCATGAAAGATCTATTTATCGTAATATAAAAAGTGTACTGTTGTTGCGTCACGATTAAAGACGAGCATAATTCAAAGTAAAGTCACAGGCGAGGTGTACGAGTAGATTTTACGAACTTTTCTAAAGAGACGAAGGAACTATTAGAGAATCACATTGCTTAAAACAGAAGTTTGATTTTACATAAAGACCCGCAGTCTGATAATTGCAAATGCTTGTTGGCACGACGCGACGCGGCCGCGATTCTCGCCGTCGATATTTCACGTCTGCAGAGACGTGAACCCAGCAAGGAATTCACAGTCGAATTCAATTTGGTGCACCGACGTCATGTCGTCATACGTGCGCGGAAAAGAATATCGGAATCCGGCGAAGGACTTTATCCAGGATATACGCGCTCGTTGCCTCTTACCCTCGGCCCGTTTCGAATTTTTGGCATCGCTCTTCCCTCGCATGTATTTATAACGCTCGTCTTCGATTTCCCATTTCTCTCTGCGGATTTTCGAAAACCGTGTCACGTCGCGTCGTCCGCGAATAAAATGCCTCGTGTAATGACTGATTGTTTCATAATGGACGGGAACGCGGCTCCTCGTTTCGCTTATTCATCGCGAGCTCTGAAGATAGCGAATTCAAAAAAAAGATAAAATTTGTATTATTTTAGATAAAATTTCATGAGTTTCTAAATTATAATGTAGGTCTGTAAAGAATTGTTAAGTTGATATTGGTTCGAATACTTTTCCTTCGGTCACTGAACTCGTGAAACGTATTCAGAGATTCGGGGACAGAGATAGGAGGAAATATGCGGATAAAACTGCGGGGTTGAAATCCGTGAAAATTGGAAACAGATTTTCGCCGAAGATTTCGGATTTTGTCGCTTGTACGAGCCATGAATCCGCGAGCCGAATAGGGTACAGTAACTCGCGAAAGTACCCGGGAAATATGCTATGCGAAATGTTCCAAATTTCATCGTCATTGGAATTGAACATAATCGTTGCGATTCTATGAACAATGGAAAAATATGTTAATGTACGTAGAATTTCTAATATGTGTTTTGTTCATAGATATTTTTACGTTACGAAATTCGAAGTTTATTAGTTGACTATTTGTTTTAGAAGTTCGTATTAATTAAATGATTGCCACGTGCATTTTTATATTACATATAAACGTAATTAATGTAATCATAAAAATCATGTCTCATTTTATAAATCAGACTTAAAACAACTCTTTCACTGAACACGATATGAATTATATATTAAAGAATTTATAGAATCGATGCTTTCCATTTGGTGTTTGAATACTTTCATGAGCTGCTATACGTACATGGGTTTTTTCGATGGCGAGAAACATGAAACGCCTCTGAATCTTGGCAAACATTTGTATTTCCCAGCGGAGATTTCTGGACACGTGCGAATATTCATAGTTCGAGCGAACGAACGTTTGGAGGTTCAGTCGTGTCAAAGAGAGGCCACAGGTAGGTACGTGGTTCCATACAATTCATTTCATGCAAAATGCAGTATCGTGCACACCGTCTGTCGAAACTATGAAAATAACGATATTTTAAATCCGATTTTTACTTTATTAATAAAAATACCAAGATTCGTTTTCATTCATTTATTAATCGGAATTTATGATTACACTTTGTGATGTCTCCTCCGGACTTTTTTTACAAACTAGCCGAGGGCTATGTACGTCGGGGGTGCATACATTGTAGGTAATCATGTAACGAATCTAGCGGAGAAATCAGCGGGCTCGTTGCAATTCTCACTTGAGCGTTCATTAATTAATTGAAACTCGATAGCCGAGAGATTATTGCTTAATTTGCATACCCGCATTTACACGGCGTAGAGTCAATCGGTTAATTAAACGTGAAACGTAATACGTCTGGCCATGTACGTACACACGTACAGCGAGGATCAAAAGTTAAGTGTCCGAATCACGGATTCCGTGTAACAAGTCTTCCGCGTGCGTTGAATAATTCCATGTAAACTGAGTAAAATCTAGAGAATACGGGAGAAATGTGTCGAGAACAGACATTATGTATTTTCTGGCAAACATGACGTTACATATACATTGCATGAATTGCAAGATGATGTAAGAATCTCTAAATCACGTGTATGGTATAAAACAGACATATTTTTTATTGTTGCGAGCAGATATTCAAGCAGTAAAATTGTAAGACGAAGCTCGAGCTTGCAAGACGTTCACTTTTGAGCCTCACTGTATGCTGCCGGATAATCGTGGCTTGTGTACTGTAATTTAGTTGGCCGGTTAGATGCGAGGATAAACAGTCGATTCCTTTAGGAGTTGTTGATTCATTTGGCCCGCTCGCGCTTCGTCGGACGCGGCAAATAACTTAATTATAAACCTATTTCCAAATGGGATACCTAATGCCCCTACGATATTCAGTTTTCAATAATTAATGAGGGCGCGGGAAGGAGGCGGCGAGTCAATTAACGCATTGTTAATATTGCTCGCAGACAGTTACAATTGCGTGATTATCAATGCCCGTTTATTAATACGGAACGCGATCAATTTTGCTCGGATGTAGTTTCACGTTTCATTTTAACGAGGAATGCTGATAATTTCGATTCAAGTTTCATTGCTGTAATTGATATACAAAATTCGGGATTACTTTTCAGTTAGGTCTCGTTCGGAACTTGAATTTTAATCCCGCGAGTTAGTCTTCGTCATTCTATTTATTATCGTGTTTCACCGTGGCAAAAGTTTATTACTTGTTGCGAGAACCAGATGCTCATATTCTCGTAACTACGTAGATTTTTGTGAAGTGTAGACTTCTGGAAAACTTGAACTCACACTCTCAGCCGTTCTAATCGTGTCTTGAATCTAATGGAAGTATGAATCATCGAATTTCTAAGAATTTTCCGAGGTTTTAATAAAATTAGAAATCTCTTTACCGTTTTGCAAATATGAAACGCAGTAGAGGACGTGTAATCGTGCAAAAGCTGCAAAGGAAAATGTGTAGAATACACGTAACTCTTTCATCCTTCAACCAGGCATCTAAAATTGTACGCGAAACGCGACTATCGCTGAATTTATCGTCTGCTCAGTTATATTCAACCGAACATTATCGTTTTCAACGTGTTGTACGTTGTCCTGCGAGGAGAATTTAAAAAGATAGGACAGGTTCGAGCGCGGATACCGTGGCAAGAAAATGTATGAAAAATGGACGTTCGGTAAAATTTTCCCTTCGCCAGATACGCTTAAATCATCCAGGCAAACAATTTATCGACGCCGTATATAATCTACACTTCTGGCAAATTGTCCAGACTCCGGATTCCACGCTCTTCGTTTTAGCTTGTCGCCTGTCCGACGTACCGGGCCTCCCCTTTGGTAAACGTGTAAAAATCACTGCGAAAGGGGGAACCTTCGATTTTCCCTATCTCCTAATCCTACTTTTGTCTTTCTCCCTTTTTATAATCCAATTTTAGACTCCTCCTGTTTGATCCAATTAAATGATATTGAATCGCGAAAACGCATTACGAACTTGATGCGTACCGCAATAATTCTCGAATGCAGTCTAGCTGTTTAAAATGATCGAACAAAAACGTACGTGTCGTTCGTGGATATTGTAAGCTCTGCGATTGAAACACGCAAAATTTTCTTTGCGACGAGGGAAAGTCGTTCGTTTTTCAAACGCAGTTTTATTGCCTGCGGGTCTCGTTTCAATTTCCACTGGTAGAATAGATCCTGTGCAAACGTACCGCCCCTGTTTTTATTAACACCCTGTATAGCGCGAGTTTGCTGGCTTCGCTCCAGCCTCCTACGCGGTCGATATAATCATCCGGCATCCACGACCCACGAGGAACGACCGCCGAAAAAAAAAAAAATAGGAGAGAAAGAGGAGACGGAAGAGGAGACGGTGGGAGAAGACGGCGAGGAAGAAGAAGAAGAAGAAGAGGTATTGGCACGGTGCCGGCCGGAGGAATCAATGACCCATTCCTCCATCGGTATTTTCGGTGCCTACTTCGAATAATTGCGTGCTACCAACCCGCGAACACGCGACAAATTCGCAGCCTCTCCACACTATTTACGGTTTGAAATGTGCACGCGATACACCTCGTCCTAATCCATCCATCGTATCCGGTTGGCTTCAAAAAGATTTATCTGTAGTATTTGTCATACGTTATCCGAGACTGACCATTCTTATACGTAATTGTACGGTTAATCAAAGTCTGGAATCAATTACACGTTGCAAGTTCTTCGCCGCATCTAAAGTTCCATCGAAATTGCACTTTATATATCACAGTTGAACACGTTCTATTTAAATGCATGGAACATCGGACGTTTCCTTATCGATCAGTATAATTAATTTCTATTTCAATTAACTCGACGTCCTCTTCCACATACTCACTGCACTCTAAATAGTATCAATGCTCGACACTTTTATGAATTCATAAAACGATATTTCGGTAGACTATTGGAAAGCATCGTGCGCTGATATTAAAAACTTTTCAATTTCAATATGAAGCTCGGAAAAAAGAGCGTGGGTGTTTTACTGTTTTCGAGTTTGGCAAAATAAAGAAGTTCGCTCGTGTTGATCGTCCCCGGGGAACGTAAAAAAGCTTTTTATTCCGGCAACCGGCGTACACGTACTTACGGTGAATACTTATACGCGCAGAAGTTGGTCGCTCGTCGTTTACGAACCACCAAAGGCGGAAACGCGGCGTCGTAAATATTATTGCAAACAAACAACCGGCGCAAAGTTTAACCGCTTCTTCTTCTTCTTTCCCGGGCGCGAACATCTTTAACCGCGGAACGGAGTCGGGGGATTTCGAGCAAACAGGCTAGACGCGGTTTGAGTCGAGTACGCGAACGTTTATGTGTCCCCGATTTAGTTCGTGATTCCAAAGCACATATCTATACAGAGGCGAAATCGATTATGTTATCCGTTTCGTGGGAAACCGACTCACACGTGATATTAAATTTTAAAAACATTTTCGAGTTTTAAAAGATCTTATGAAATAATACATTGCCTCGTATCATATTTCGTTCGTTTGTTAAAATATTCAGATTTATATATGAAATTTCCTGTTAATTAAATGTTCAATAAGTACGGAATTATAATTCATTCAATGAACTGAGCGAAAGAGGAAATCCCTTTGAAGCTCGCACCGTACATACAAGAGTTCATTCAATTCAACGACGATCGTGATTCACATTATAAGAATTCATTCAATGAAACAATTTACCAGACATCTCGTAGAAATGTATCACTAAATACATGTAGATAATATTGTACGATGTACGTAGGCATACTTCGAACTGGAGATACATTCTGTGACAGTAGAATTCATTGAATTATTATCGACCGATATAAACCATTGCTATTCGGTCTTCACGGAAACGTTCGCAAATAATGTTGCTTTTGACTGTGATATTTGCGAAACGAGATTCGTGACTCGGTTGAGAAATCATCCCAGCAATGTGAGCTTTAATGTACACAGTGAGACGGAAAGTCGGAGCCTTAGACTGGAGATTCTACGTGAAGATAATACGTGAAACGTGGAATTTGACAAAAAGGATCGTATT